TGAGAAAGAGTTATGTGTGGTGGCATGTACTTCATTAAGCTGATGGGCGTTTTAATATTTAAATGACTCTTAGTCAGGCAAAAGTTACTTTCTGGACATAGCGTCCTTCAAAGTTTCAGTCTCAGGACTTTTGTTTTGTTCTTCAGTGCCAAACCAGGCCCATCCTGTCTGTCCCTCCTCCTGCAGCCAGCTCAGCCTTCCCGACATCAGCCAGGAACAATTTCATCCCTAAAGATAACGTGGAATGCACAGGGGAAGCCTCAGCCCTTCCCCGGCTCCTTGCTCATCATCTCACACGGGAGGAGGAGTGGGGGCATCAGGGTGGGCTCCACTCCTCCTCTCCCTCTGCACAGCACAGGGGTGATTCCCTATGCAGGAATGTTAACTGTTAGGTACTGAAGGCTCTGGGGGTTGAATGGTTTTCCAAAAGAAGCAATAATATATATATATATATTTATATGTATATAAAAAGCCCATGGGATGAGTCAGTGCAGCCTGTGTTCCGCTGCCCTTCCGGGAAGGGAAGCCTGCTCCCGAAACAGAGCCCTGACTCACAGGGTTCTTGGAACCCAGAGCAGACTCATTCAGCTTCTTCCCTCAGCGAGAAGTTCGCTCAAAACCAGGCACAGAGTTTCTCTGCCCACAGGAGCAGGAGGAATCCTGGGGCTCTGGTGCAGCACGAGGGGCTGGGACAGTGACACAATCCCCTGTGTCCCAAGGATTATCCTGGGACAAGGACAAGCTGGGAGACAGGAACACCTCTGAGCTGCCCCACTGGAGATCCTCCTGCTCAGCCCAACCTGTGCATCAGCTGAACCCCAGGCACATGAACAAGGCTCAGCCAGCACCTGGGAGTCCCCACAGGAGCCCAGCACACCTTACCTCCACCCACATGCAGCTGTGGTCAGTCTCCAGCTCCTCAGGGACAAAAAAGGCTTCCACAGGCCAAGTCACACAGCAGGGAAAGCAAATTCCATCCTGGCTGCCCCCCCCCGGCAGCCAGGGAAACTCTGAAGCACGGGGCTCCAGTGCGTAACTACGGCGCAAGCAACAAGCCAGGCTTTCTTCAAACCCTTCTGATGCATCAACACATGAGATAGCCAAGGACTCATCTCTGGGAGTTCCCTCTTTGGTTACATAAACACCAACCTCAGCTTAACCCTTTCGTGCTGCAGCACAGGCCACATCCAGCGGGAAAACTCCCCAGTGCAGCCCAGCACGCAGGCAGCAGGACCTGGCAATGCAGCTGCAGCACCTGAGGCTGCACTGCTGCCCCAGCACAAACCCCTGACCCGCTCTGTGCCTGCATACAGCCTGTGCTCACCTCCCAAACCCCACCAGGGGCGAGGGGTGGGGTGTGTGACGAGGTTTTATTCCTCACTGATTGCTTCTGATGCTATCAATATGCCACAAGCCCCTGCAGCAGGACAGGAGCTCTGTGTGCACAGAGTGTGACCCACACACGTGCTGACACTTCCCAGCCAGGTGTGGCTGCAGTTTCTTTCAGCAGTGACTCACCTGGCCCTACCTGGTGAGACAAATGTGTTGAAGTTACCTGCACACACTGCCAGGCCTACGCTGCTGGGGTTTGCAGTGTGACAACACACTGACAGGAACTGCACGCTTGCAAAAAAAAAATATTAACCAAAACAGCCTGTTTCACACAGAAAATGGCCAGACAGAGCCTGCTCTGTCCAGCTGGAGCTCCCAGGCAGGGAGGAGACACACACTGCACCTGCCTGGAGCACCTGGAGCCCCTGCATAGGTAACAGCCCCCAAGTTCACTGGGCAGCTCAGGCACAATTCTCAGGGCTGTCCCTATTCATAGTCACAGAATAGTTTGGGTTGGGAGGGACCTTAAAGACCCTTCCGCCCTCCTGCCATGGACAAAGAGACTTTTCACTACCCCAGGTTGCTCCAAGCCCTGTCCAACTCGGCCTGGAACATTTCCAGGGATGGGGCAGCCACAGCTTCTCTGGGTAACCTGTGCCAGGGCCTCCCCAGCCTCACAGGGAACAAAATTTCCCTAATATTCCATCTAACCCTGCCCTCTCTCAGTGTGAACCCATTTCCCCTTGTCCTGTCACTTGAGGCTCTTGTGAACAGTCTCTGTCCCTATTTCTTGTAGCCCATTCAGGCACTGGAAGGGGCAGTTACGTCACCCTAAGGCTCTCTTCTCCAGCTGAACAACCCCAATTCTCTCACAGCAGCAGTGCTCCAGCCCTCTGATCAGCTTGGTGCCTCCCCTGGATTCATTCCAACAGGTCCATGCCCTTTCTGTGCTGAATCACAGCCCAGCTCAGTGCCTGTGAGCTTCCCTTGCCTGTCCCAGGCTCTGAAACATCCTGAGGGTCACAGCCCAGCTGAACTTTGCTTTTAAAGAGCACAATTATGAGATCAAACCCTCAGCATGGACAGCACAGAGAAACAATCAATGGATGCAGCACGAACCCTCCAGCATAAGGAAATATGTCCTGAATCCTGAGTGCTGCCAGCCCAGGGCTCCATGCCAGCAGGTGAGAGCTCCCCTGCTGTCCCTTGCGCCACGCCTCACCTGGGTGCCAGGTCCAGCCTCACCTGGGTGCCAGGTCCAGCCTCACCTGGGTGCCAGGAGCTCACCTGGGTGCCAGATCCAGCCTCATCTGGGTGCCAGGTGCCTCCCCTGCTGCCTCAGAGGAGCCAGCTGTCCCACAGCACATGGCACAGGCGTGGTGGCTCAGCCCCACCACACCAGGCAATGGCCTCTGCTCTGACTTCTCCAGCTCCCTCTGGACATGGGATTGCAGCCCCACACCCCCAGCACATCTGTTCATACTAGTAGATGTTAAGCCCATACATTAAGGCTCTAAACTAGCAAAGAACTGAATCCCCAGCTCTGGTGCAGCACATTTCAGCACAGCCAGGGCAGGAGGGAGCACAACCCCAAACCCCTTGTGCAGGGGGTGGAGATGATGTCCCACGAGGTCCTCCCAGCAGTGAGACCTTTCACACCCTCAGTGGGCTCCCAAAGCCACGACCAGAGAGGGACAGCACCTGGTTCTAGGGGTGGGAGGTTCCCCAGCCCCTCGGGTGAGCTGCAGGGAGTGCAGGGCAGGGTCCGTCCCTGCTCCGACACCTGCTGGTGTTACTCACCCTCCCTCCCTCAGAGGCACAGCCCTCACCGACTCACTGCTGAGGCACACGAGCCTCCTCCCGGGCACAGAGGTCCCCAAAGTCTAAATTCAATCGTTCCTGCCCAGACTGGAGGCAAAACCAGCCCAAATCACGGGCTGTGCCTCTTTCAGCCCCCCGAGCTGCTGCGGGGCTCAAACCGAGCCCCCAGCCTGAGAGCACCGGCACACCGAGCTGAACCGGGCGGCCAGGGCAGCTGGGGGCTCCCCCGGCCCGGCGGACGATCGGTGGGACCGGGATGGGGCCGGGTCCCGGGTTATGTCCCCCACGCTCTATCCACGCTTCGCCCTCATTCACCGACAGCCCCAGCTCCCTCGTCTCTCACCCATATCCATAGCCCCGGTACCGGTTCCCTCTGCTCTCTCTCATCCTCCTCAGTCACGGCTCGGTCCCGGCCCCGGTTTCCCCGCTCTCTCCCGCCCCTCACTCACCCCAGCCCGGTCCCGGTTCCCCCGCTCTCTCTCCTCGGCCTGGTTTCCCCCGCTCTCTCCCGCCCCTCACTCACCCATAGTCCCGGCCCGGTTCCCCTGCTGTCTCCCGCCCCTCACTCACCCATGGCCCCGGCCCCGTTCCTGGCTCTCTCCCGCCCCTCACTCACAGCCCAGCCCGGTTCCCCCGCCCCTCACTCACCCATAGCCCCGGTTCCCCGTTCTCTCCCGCCCCTCACTCACCCATAGCCCCGGCCCCGTTCCCGGCTCTCTCCCGCCCCTCACTCACCCATGGCCCCGGGCCCGGCCCGGCCCGGCCTCGCTCCGCTCCGGCGGCCGCCTGGCACCGGAAGTGACGCGACGCCACCGCCCCCCGCCGCCAGCCCGCCCCCTGCCGGCCGCTGCCGGAACGGGGAAACGGCGGCGCTGATTGGGCGACGGCGACAGCGCGGGCGGTGATTGGAGGAGAGCCCGGGGGCTGGACGGTGTTTTGCGGCGGGCTCTGATTGGTTGAGGCGTGCAGCGGAGAGGGAAGCAAGCAGCGAACGCTGATTGGTTGTGGTGCGATGAATCCGGCGCTGATTGGCTCAGACCGGGGCCAGGAGCCCGCAGGGTTGGTGAGCACGCGGGAGATTCGAACGCGCCGTGATTGGCCAGAGGGCGGGGCCTGCGGAGATGCCCCCGCCCATGGAGCCAGCGGGCCACGCCCACAGAGCCCCGCCCGGCGGCACCGGGACCCCCGGGCTGGGACCCCTGGGTTGGGTCCCTCCGACTGAGTCACCCTGGCTTTGGACCCCCGGATTGGGACCCCCAGATTGGGGTACCCTGGGTTGAGTCCCCCCGACTGGGACACCCCGGACTGGGACCACAGAACTCCCACACTCTGAGCCCCAGACTGAGACTGGCGGGGTTGGAACCCCCCGGGTTGGGCACCCTGATCTGCCCTGCCCTGCTGCCCTGCCCGGCCCGTGCAAACGAGCACCCCCAGGGCACAGCCCCCAGCTCCGTGTCCTGCGGGATCCCAACCCCTGGTGGGCTGCAGAGTTTGGTGATGGAGGAAGCAGAGGAGCCAGCAGTGCCAGCATTCTGTGTGCTAGGTGAAGCACATTCCTGCTTTTTGAGGCAGATAGTGCTGCCCCTTCCCCTGCATGTTCCCTCCCCTATCTCGCTGAATACTTCCAGAATGGTGGCTCAGGAGGAAGATGAGCACAGACCAGAACCAGCCCCTGTCCAGCTCAGCACCAGCGGCTCCAGGGTGGCCATGCTGGTGACAGCAAGTCCTTTGCTCAGTGGGCAAGCAAAGGCTGAGCCAGGGGCAGTGGGATGTCAAGAGTTCTTTGACCATTGGAGGATGGACATGAGTAACTGCCAATGGAACACAAAATGAGCGGAGAGACCACAGAGCCTTTAAATGGTGTTATTCACTACAAAAACCAGTCCTGCTCCTCTGCAGGTGGGGAGAACAGCAGAACCTCAAGTCCTTGGGGGAAAATGTCCCTTGGGGGATGTCACTGGCTGGGACAGAGAGAGCTGGCAGTCCATCAGAGGAGCACATCCACCCAGGCCCATCCTGGCTGCTGTGGGCAGCGCCAGGCCCTCACTTGTGCTTGGCAGGGAGGAACTCCCGGCGTCCCTTGTCACGAGCCCCGAAGTAGCGCACCCTGTGGATGGCCTGCAGCTGCTCCTCGATGGTGGCGCGGATGTCCACCTCGTCGGGGATGTGCACGTAGCGGATGTTCCTGCCGGTCACAAAGAGCTCGTCCAGGCGGGACACGGCGCCCTGCCGGTCCGTGAAGGTCACCTCGGCCAGGCGCACGTTCATGAAGGCGTCCACGCTGGTGACGCGCCCCGCGGCCGCGCTCTCATCGCGCAGCTCCACGGTGGTGACGCGGCCGCGCAGGCCCTGCAGCAGGATCACCAGGCTGTTCTCGGCGATGGTGCGCTCCTTCACTGAGTGGCTCACCTCCATGGCGGCTGTGGGGGCACAGGGGCTGGGCACAGGGGCTGGGGACACTTGCCCGCTGTGCCTCACACGGAGCAGTCCCTGCACATGGGCCCTGCACACACACCCGAATATGGACCAAATCCTGCCCATGGACCAACCTTGCACATGGACCAACCTCTGCACACACACCTGCCCGTGGACCAAATCCTGCCCACAGACCAAGCCCTGCACACACACCTGAGCATGGACCAGACCCTGAATACAAACCTGAACATGGATCAGCCCCTGCACATTGACCTGCCCGTGGACCAAATCCTGCCCATGTACCAACTGCTGCACACACACCTGAGCATGGACCAGACCCTGAACATGGACCAACCCCTGACAAACACCTGAACACGGACCAGCCCCTGAACACACACCTGTACATGGACCAAATCCTGCCCTCACACCTGTACATGGACCAAGCCCTGCACACACACCTGCCCACTGTACCACCCCTCAAACGCTCACCTGCACGCACACACATCGCCCCTCGCACTCTCACCTGCACACGCATCACCGCTCACACGTCCACCTGCACACACACGGCCCCTTTCACACTCACCTGCTCTCACACCCTCGCCCACCCCCACGGCACACGTTCCTCCCCCTCCCCGCCCGCCGGGGCGCTCCGTGTCCCTCTCGCCCTGTCCCTGCCCTCACCCCCGCTCCACCCTCGCTGTCCCCTCCCGGGTCTCCCCTCTGTCCCCTCGCTGTCCCCATCCCCCCCCCGTCCCGCACACCGGGCCCCCCCCGCACTCACGCGCCGCCGCCTTCCCGCGCGCTCCCCGGGCCGCCCCGCCCCTCGCGCACGCGCGGCCCCGCCCCTCGCCCCGCCCACGGCGGAAAGGGGCGGGGCGGCCACGCGGGGTGTCCGTGCGTCCCAATGTCCCCAAGTCCCGCTGTCCGTGTTCCGGTGTCCCAATGTCCCCAAGTCCCGGTGTCCGCGTGTCCCGCTGTCCGCGTGTCCCAATGCCCCGGTGTCCGTGTGTCCCGATGTCTGCGTGTCCCGGTGTTCGCTTGTCCCAATGTCCCGGTGTCCACATGTCCCGCTGTGTCCGCATTGCTCAATGTCCCCAAGACCCGGTGTCCACTTGTCCCGGTGTCCACTTGTCCCAGTGTCCACGTGTCCCAATGTCCGCTTGTCTCGGTGTCCGCGTGTCCCGATGTCCGCGTGTCCCAATGTCCCGGTGTCCGCTTGTCCCGCTCAGAGCCCGTCCATCAGTGCCAGCAGGTCCTCGCCCTTCCCGGCGCTGCCCGGGCGCGGTTCCGCCACGTCCAGCTCGCCCAGGATGCGGGACAGCTCCGCCCGCCGCGCCGGCTCCTGCGGGACGGACAGACAGACGGACACCGCGCTCAGCGCCCGCCGCTGGGCTCCCCTGGGACGTGCCCCTTCTACACCCCAACTCGGCTAAAACTTCCTCTGGTGTTTGTCAGGATTCAAGTTTTCTTAGTAAATATTCACCAATTCCATTGTCTTGGGAGAAAATTGGCAATTACTTAGTTAAGAGCTTAAGTGAAATGGGCAAAAATGTGTTTAGGGATGGTGAGAACCAGTGATGTGAAACATGTTACACACCTGTGTGGCTTCAATGTTGATAACCTTGTAGGACAGCTCCTCTGGTCTGGTCTGTGCAGCGTGTCTTGATTAAAAACATGAAAAGAGTGGTTAATCCCATGGAAATGATTAAAATCAGGCTTCATCAGGCTCCTGTAGGCACAAATGATGCTCAGAGGGTGCTCACAGGGCCAGACTGGATGGGGCTTGAAGCAGCCTGGTCTGCTGGAAGGTGTCCCTTCCCATGGCAGAGTAGAATTAGAGGACTCTTCCAACCCAAACCATTCTGGAATTCCATGAAGTTTGGCAATGTCTCTGTTCCTACTTGCCAAATTAATGTATTCACCCCAGTTTAGAGGCTTCTCCCTGTCCTAGATATTTTTGTAAAGGGCAGAACAGCAGGAATATTTCTGCAGCAGAAACAAGCAGATAGAAACATCCTGCTAAAATGGCTGGAGGGAAATTTCTGTCCAGTGGCGTTGGGAGAAATGCTGCATCACAGGAGACATCAGGAGCAGGATAACAACACCCTGCTCTGACCCTAAAGCTCTTTGAGGGCCAGCTTTGCTCTCCAGGGCTCCCCACAAGGCACCCCAAACCCAAACCCAAACCCAGAAGGATTCCAGCATACTCTTCCTCCTCGTCGGTGGTGAACAAGTTCAGCCGAAATCCTGAATCACCAGCAGGTTTCTGGATGTCCAAACCTCCCAGCAGCCTGGCCAAAAAGTTCAGCTCTTCTTTAGCAAGAGGGTTGGGGGCTATGTTCTCCTGCAGGAAACAGCAATGGGTTTGTTGGGCAATTATCTGGGAGATTTGGGCTGCAAGGAGCTTTGATATTCCATATATGTCCTTCATATATTCCTGATATTCCATACATGTCCTTCATATTTTCCTGATATTCCATACATATCATTCATATTTTCCTGATATTCCATACATGTCCTTCATATATTCCTATATTCCATACATGTCCTTCAAATATTCCTGATATTCCATACATGTCATTCATATTTTCCTGATATTCCATTCATGTCCTTCATATATTCCTGATATTCCATTCATGTCCTCCAGAGGGATATAAACACATTTATTTCCCTGTTTTCCCTGGGACAGATTGTGCAGATAATCAGTAATCACCAGCTCCATGCTGGAAATGGCTGCTTGAATTTATAGACTCAGCACAAGATACTTTTCCAGCTCAATTGGACAGGTGAGAAATCTGTAAAGCCAACTTTGTTTTCTGAGGAGATTAAAATGGAAGCAAGAATATCTTTACAGGAGTGTGTGTATTCTTTGGGAAAATGTGGCCTGGCTTTAAAGGACTGGGGAGGATTGGCTGAGGCTCTGAGACCAGAAAAGCTTCCCTGACCTTATCCCATATTTATAGACTCAGAATTTGGCCAGTTTAAGCAGGGACAGGAGGAGGACAGCACTGACCTTTGCCTGGGATGCCAGGTTTTTGGAAGATCCTGACATGTGTGTCTCCACTGGCCGGGTCACGCTGTACCTGCAGGGAAAACACTCATCAACAACAGCTTGTTCTGGGACCAGGCACAGAACCAGAGGGATGCAGAATTTTAGGATATTTCCCTGAAGACTGAACAATTGCAATGAGAAGCTGCAGCTCAGTGTGGTGCAGTGAGGTGTGTGAGGGACAAAGCTGTGAGGAGAAACATAGATCTCTTTGGATAGAAAATGTACATTAAAGCCAACATGGAAAACAGAGAGGATTTCTTGATTGTGGTAACATTAAATCACATTTCACATGAGATGCAGCACCAGGTGAGAACACTCTTTCCTCAGACATAAATCAAAGTTTTGCCTGTTTTTTGCAGCTCTTTTTACACTGTCCGCACAGGACAGCACCTTGTAACAAAGTCAATCTGATAATTAAAGCAAAAGATCCCAAAACCACACCAGGCTGAAAATGTGTTTCTGGCCAACCCATCAGCATTTGGTTCAGGTTTCTACACAGAACAAAAATTACTCACATATTTGTTCCAAGTTTGAGGACTCTGTCTCCATAAAGCTCAAAAGATCCTTCCCTTTGTGGAGTAACATAATTCCCAGCAGTGCTGAACTCAGCCCTTTTAACTTCCACTCCTTTGTGATTGAATATCCTTAAAAACGAGATATAATTGAAATATTTATTAGCTTCAGTCCTGATTTTAGTACCTAATTCCTCTGCTTTATGCATGAGGAATAAAACTCTATTCTGTAGAATAATAATAACAGTAACAAAATAATAACAATAATAATAATAATAATTCTGTATCATAATACTGTATTATGTATAATAATATTCTGTATAATAATAATTCTGTACATTGCTAAATGCCTCTTTTATGGGATAAATTAATAATAGCTAATTTATTATAATAGAAAACTCCCAAAAGCAGCTCAGCATTTCATTGCTGGGCAACTTAATCCCAAATTCTGCCCTTTAAATAGTTAATACTACTACTACTACTACTACTACTACTACTACTACTACCAGTAACAATAACAATGACAACATTATATTATATATAATAATCTGTGTAATAATAATAAATCTGTACATTGCTAAATGCCTCTGTTATGGGATAAATTAATAACAGCTAATTTATTATGATAGAAAACTCCCAAAAGCAGCTCAGCTTTTCATTGCTGGGTGATTTAGTCCCAAAATTCTGCCCTTTAAATAGTACTAAATACAAATAATACATAAACATTATAATATAATATAATATAATATAATATAATATAATATAATATAATATAATAATTTTAAGGCCCCTTAAATAGTACTTATTTGAGATAATATTAATATTATTATTATTATTATTAATAATAATAATAATAATAATAATAATAATTATTATTATTATTATTATTATTATTATTATTATTATTATTATTATTATTTTAAAAGGCCCCATAAATAGTATTTACTGGAGTTTCAGCTATCCATGCAACAGGATTGTCAGTCTGAGCTGGATTCCTGAGCCTTCCCTGTGCCCCACACGTGGCACAAGCTCACCTGATGAGCCCTGGCACCTCTGTGCCCCAGGGGACAGGCCCTGAGATTGGCAGCACAAAGCGACCATTGGAGTTCTGCACTTTATCCTTCAGGAAGATGGAGACCTGCAAAGGGACATCACAAACATCACACCCTGGGGAAATCCTCTACGGACCTTCCCATCCCAATTCCCTGAAATCTGAGCCTGAGATTCTCTGCCTGGGCTGGGGAAGGTTTCCCAGAGCTCTTGGTCTGTGTAGGGATGTATTTACACAGCCAGCGATGTGGAATTGTGGTCCAGAGAACGATCTAACGTTAAAAACATTATATTAAAAACTACATCCTGTTCATGCATGTGAGTGTGGCCAATTTGTTTAGAGAACATCAACAGTTCATGCTCAGATTTCCTATCTTCTTCCAAGTTTCTTCTAAAAGGAAAAATGGATTTATCCATCTAAATCACACTAGCAGAGATTCCTTTTTTCATAACATTGTAGAATTATTCAGCAATATTGCAATATATGTGCTCAATTTATGAAATTTGAGTGCAATTACAAGCACATCAAGATGATTGAAAAACACAAACAACAAACCCAAACCTGCAGTGTTTATAAGCAGATCCCTTTACATTCCAACCCCAAACTCCCTGTCATTCTCCCTGCCTAGCTGGATTGGGCTCTTACCCTGATGTGCATGTCCTGGAAGAAAATGAGAAGTGTTTGCCTGATGAGCTGGAATTCACCATCAGAGAGAGGGTTGTAGGTCTGGAAAAGGAAAATCATCATGCAAGGGTTGCAGGTGTGCCATGATCCAGCCAGGGAAAGAGGGAACAAACAAGTACAGCTGAATATTCTGATTTACTTGGAAATTATCAGGGGGAACAGAGATGCTGTGAGGGGGCTGCTGGTTATTATCAATAATTATTGTCTGCCACTAAAAGTCTGATTTAATTTCTGCTGAAATCAGTGGAAACTTAAATCAGACTGAATAAGCAACACATTGATTTTAACTGGGCCAGTAAAAGAATACCACTTGACTCAACCCTTTCCAATGTAGTAATTAATCTCTAAGAGGTACAAAACCCATAAAATCAAACCACAGTGTGTCCCACCCTTTTCCTGAGGATTCTTACCTCGATCAGCCTCCTGAAGGTCTCATCCACCTGGTTCAGAATGCCAGGGGAGTCAGAGATGAAATCCTTGATGGCATCCAGGTGGTTGAAGGTGACCAGCAGAACGTCCCTGGGCCGAGGGCACAGCAGCACTTGGTATTTGAAGGCCATGGTCATGAGGTCGTAGAGCTGCAAAGGAACACAGGAATGTTGGTTGGAAACATGGAGAGGGGGATTCAGTCAGGCCAGGATTCCTGTGGCACAAGGAACCATTTTAGGTTTATTTCTTAAAAAACAAGAGCTCTGCAGTCCCATCCCCAGCCTTCCTGCTGGGTCTCCAATGCCACCAGTGCTCAGTGAGCAATATTATTGTATTTGTGAGGTTCCCTGATGAATGATGAATCTGGGCCATGTTCTTAGAAGGCTAATTTATTATTTTATGATACTATATTATATAAAAGAAGACTATACTAAACTATACTAAAGAATACAGAAAGGATATTTACAGGTCAAAAAGATAATAATGAAAACTCGTGACTCTTGCCAGAGTCCTGACACAGCTTGGCCCTGATTGGCCAAACAGTGAAAACAACTCACAGAAACCAAATGAAACAATCACCTGTGGGTAAACAATCTCCAAACACATGTGAGCACAACACAGGAGAAACAAATGAGATAAGAATTTGTTTTCCTTTTTCTCTGAGGCTTCTCAGCTTCCCAGAAGAAAAACCCTGGGCGAAGGGATTTTTCAGAAAATATGACTATGACAGAGAGTCATTTTCAGAAGGAAAGCTGTTCCAAAATACTTCAAAATGGAAAAACCACAGGTTAAATATTGCTACAGAACCTGGTGAAGGGCAGCTGGGCAGCAGGAGTGTTACCTTGTCCATGCTGGCCTGGTTGAGTCTCATGATGGAGGCATGGGCCAGCCGGTCGTACACGGTGCGCAGCGCTTTCTTGGAGTACAGATCCTGGGGCTTGAACAGCTCCTCCATGAATTTCCTGTTGAACATGGTGCTGATGATGTCGTTCATCACTGCAAAGACAAAGTTAGGCTCTGTGGTTTGCTCCAGAACAGCCTGGTCCTGCTCCATGCCAGGGGACAGAGCGCAATGGGAGAGGGGGAGCAGCATCTCTGCATCCAGCTCTGCATCCAACTCAGCCCCACCTGAGCAGCATCTCTGCCTCCAGCTCTGCCTCAGCCTCACCTGAGCCTCACCTGAGCAGCCCCTCTGCATCCAGCTCTGCCTCAGCCCCACCTGGGCATCATCTCTGCATCCATCTCTACATCCAGCTCTGCCTTACCTGAGCAGCCCCTCTGCATCCAGCTCTGCCTCAGCCTCACCTGAGCATCACCACTGCCTCCAGCTTTGCCTCACCTGAGCAGTATCTCTGCATCCAGCTCTGCCTCAGCCCAATCTGAGCAGCCCCTCTGCATCCAGCTCTGCATCCAGCTCTGCCTCACCTGAGCATCACCTCTGCCTCCAGCTCTGCCTCACCTGAGCAGCCCCTCTGCATCCAGCTCTTCCTCAGCCTCACCTGAGCTGGATGCAGAGGGGCTGCTCAGGTGAGGCAGAGCTGGAGGCAGAGGTGATGCTCAGGTGCATCCAGCTCTGCCTGAGCCACCTGATGTCCCCCAGGGCACAGATGCCACCTGAGCTGAAGGCAGCAGGCCCTGTTTGCCAGTGGGAATAAGGCTGGCTTTGCTGCCCTGTTTTTACAGCTATGGTTGGCACTTTTCATTTTTAAATAATGCAGGCTGCTCTGATGTGTTATTATCTGCTGCAGATAATTAGAAAGAATAAAAATAATATTAAAAGCTGCAGTTGTGCTTCCTAAGGAGAGTTTTGCATTGTGGTAGATCTGATGTGCCTGTTCCTCCACACCCTCTGACACCACCAGTCTATTTTTTAACTTCTCAACAGAAGCTCCTGCAGGGCTCTCTGTAATCTTTATTCCAATCAGATTAGCACTGGCAGGTATTTAATAAAGCATTTATATCCCTGGGATCTATATCAACCCACTCAGGGCTCTCCCAGCTGAAACATCTGCAGGCCCTAGAGTTTCAAATGCAGAACTCCAAACTTCCTTACTTGTGGTTAATTTTTAATGTGCAAATTTAGCCATGGAACTAAATTTGTTTTAATAAGTTTTATTACTGAGGAGTTCTTAGAGCTCAGGAGTGCTGAGGGTGAGTGCTGTGCTCTGATTATTGAGTTTTTAATGCAAACAAGATGGAAAACATTGTGCAGTGCTTCCAGCAGATGCAGCACCTGAGCTTTTGTGCTGGTTCTGCCACTTTTATTATCTCCCTGATACATTCTAAAGAGTTATCATCAATAAACATTTATTCCTGTATCAAAAAAAAAAAAAAAAAAAAGGTAAATGAATACATCAGGTCACAGATTACTGTACAAGTGTGGATTTTGCTAAGCAGATGATTGTAACAAAGCTCATAATGCCAGACAATTCTTGTGGATTAGAAAAATCTCAGAGTAAATAATAAGGAAAAAAAAAAGAAAGAAAAGAAGAAAAGTGAACATACAGAGAGTGGTAGTGACCAATGGTTTGAGTTATTGGCTTAATGATTCCCTGGGGGGTCAAACACCTGGCTTTTCATCTGTTCTACCCCAACAGACAAAATAAAGATAATTTCCTAATTTCCCTGTCACTTCATCTCTTCCCAGAGGATAAACTCCCTGGGGACTACGCAGGGAGAGCTGTGTTCCCAAGGGCAGAGGCCTCCTGAAATGGTTCTCTAAATCTGCTGGTTCCTCACACACAGCTCACACAAAGTTCAGCAGCTGAACCTGACAGGGCTCCCTAATCCTGGTCTAAACACCCCAAATCCACAGACAGATCCCAGCTCCTGAGCACTTTGGACTAAGAATACACCTAATTACAAATGGGAAAAAAGTCCCTCCTTCCTTTTAAACAAACTGGCCATAAAACAATCCCTACTTGCAATCTCAGGCAGAAATCCTCTATTTTTCGTGGAGAAAATAAAATATATTAGTACTAGTAGATATTAGTATCTAGTTAATTTTGCAGGGAATCAATTATGACAAAAACAGGAACTTCTGCTTAATACCGCTATTAAGAAAAATATTTTTAAGCTGCTTGTGTGTGCTGCCCATAGAAAGATTCCTCCTGTCTTTGGAGAGCCACAAACAACCCAAAATAGCAGGAGACAGACATCTACCTCCCAGTATACCGATTTCTCAACAGAAAAACCACAGTCATAAATTATCTTCTGAAATTAAAACCCTCTTGTGTGGGTTATAAAAAGAACTGAGAACGACATTAAAAAAAAATCAATCACGGTAAAGGGCAAATTGATAATAAATCACTCCCATGTTTGATAATGACACAGTAAAGGGCTCAAGGGGGCCATGGAGGTGACACAGGAGCATTGGCCCAGGGACATGGCACAAGCAACACAGAGAAAGCAGCTGAGCAGAGAGGGGAGGTTGTAACTGGGATGAGAGGAGGGAAACCAGTGCAGACAGTGTGTGATGGACAGGGCTGAGGCTGGGGTGATGGTGGCTCTGGCCTCCTCACACCACGTCTGGGGACAGACTGGTGTCACAGGGATGCACGACATGGGGCTGGAGCTAGAGCTGGGTGATGCTGGTGCTTCCTGGTGTTTTGCAGAGATAATCAAAACTCCACAATTTTTGTGAAAGTCGCAAAGCTGGTATGCTCATTACAGCGCTGGACGCACGTGGGAATTGTTCTTCTAAAATGATGTGTACTTCTGGGAACTTCAGGTCTCTTTTTATCTCTTTCTCAAATACATATGTATGCATATGTAATAAATATGTAAATAGGAAATTGTATGCAATTTCACAATAGGTTCATACATACTCATTTTTACGAATTTTGCGCGACGTTTGCCGCTAGTTCTTCTGTCGCAGACATCTTTTTGTGAAAATCCTTTTCTTTAAGATTTTCCCTTCTGAGAAGCTGAAGCCTCAGAAACGGAATGTAAACAATGGTTATCTGCTGCTGTGGAATGCATCAGGTAGATTTTTTGATCGGGCCATCTTGAATGTTTACAATTAATGGCCAACCACAGACCAGATAGCTCAGACTCTCTGTCCGAGCCACAGACCTTTGTTACTCATTCTTTTCAATTCTTAGCTCAGCCTTCTGAGGAAACCTTTCCTTCTATTCTTTTTAGTATAGTTTTAATGCAATATATATATCATAAAATAATAAATCAAGCCTTCTGAACATGGAGTCAACATTCTTGTCTCTTCCCTCATCCAAGAACCCTTGTGACCACTGTCACAGTTCTTTATCAGAAAGAATTCTTAGGCCAGGTTGATCTGCTCTCACAGCAGTCTCTCTGTCTCTCTCTATCACTCTCTTTCTCTTCTCTTATCTCTGTCCTTCACTGAAGCAGTTTCTCTGAGCTTAGGCTTTTGCAGTCAGGCTAAATAGCTGTGTTCCCTAACTACAGACTCAACTCAAAAATGTACATTTCACCTAAATCAAAACGGATTTCTACCCTGGAAAATTTCTACTCTGCCTCACTGGAGGGTGTTCGGGGCAGCGGAAGGAACATTCTGTGTTCTGGACAGTCACCCTGAGTGCCACAGGATTGTGGTTCTTCAGGGACCTTGTCACTGCTCCACCAGGGACAGCCCCAGGGGTGACACCAGGACCCTCAGAGCACTGAGCAGAGTGTTCTTCTCTCTCAGGAGAAGGGAAGGGTCAGCCTGGCACCTGCTCCTGAGCCAGCCCTGTCCCTTGCCTCACAGCTCTGGGCAGCTCCTCCTCGTTGGGGATGGGATGGAATCTGTCCCTGGACTTCTGAGCTAAAGGGTGTGCTTGGAAACAGGATGGAATGGTAAGGAAAAAGCTGGGGCAGACTCCAGGACATCAGCATTTACCTTCAGTAGATATTAAAATCTACCAAAATGATGCTTGTTTTGCAAAACACAAATCACAGCCTTGATCCCTCCTAAAAAAGGGCTGCTCAGAAGGCTGCTCATGCTCTCTGAACAAAACCCTGAGATTCAAGAGATTCATTTCCTTAGCACAGCCCCTGCTGCAGGTTCCTGTTCCAGGGCAGATTCCAGAGGGAAACACCCGAGGGCTCAATCCCACCCTCAGGATGCTCCAGGCAGGATGAGCTGAGGGCTCCTGCTCCTTTGGGATGGCTCTGCCAGGTGTGACCACCGGCACAGGTGGGAAAAGCAGCTGGGATGGGAATGCCTTCGATCATCCCTGGAGTTCACCTGTCCAAACCCTGAGCAATGCATGAGATAAAACCTTAAAAAAAATGGAATATACCCAATATTCCTGCGTTTAAGCAGAAAAACGACCTGCACAATGCTCACACAATTACATGCTTGCATGAAAACAGCGGTAAAGAAACACAAATACCATTTTTGCAGGCAAGACCACCAGGATAAAAAACTTTGATCCATTTATAATCTCGGTTAAATTAACAGCTGATTTTTGAGGCCATATGATTTTAAGGTATGGTCTGGTTTTTTTCACTGATTTCCAGTAATTTAAGGTGAGCATTATTTGTGACACTGACTGAAGGCTGCAGGAACAGCCTCAGGGGTTCAGGCACGATGAGCCCCAGGTGTGCACGTGGGGTTGGACTGGTGCATGCACACAGCAGGTACTGTACCTCGTTTCCTGTCCACATCTGTCCATTCATCTACACGAAGCATACAAAACAAAACAGCAGTTCAAGATGTAAGAACGAGAGTTGCAAGGAGAAGAAAAGAAAATAAGAAAGAAATAAACTTAAAAAAAAAAAAAAAGCAGCTAACTAATGGATTTTGTCTCTTCTCATCAGCATTCAGCAGTGAATGAGAATCTCACCCTCCCCTTGGATAAAATCCTGCTGCTTCAGGGCACATCAAATTTTAGTTTTCAGCTGCATTTTGCACTTACAAGTAACCAAAATTTGAGTGAACAGCTTTAAGCATCAACAAACACCTCAGTGTGGATGAACCACATCTCAGTGAAATTAACGCACAATTTTTTGGAAGAAAAAAATAAAAATCCATGTGTGGACAAACAAAACCAATCCAATTCTCCAGATATTCCATCAAGATTTAATTTAACTAAAATCCTAAACTTGTCCCTGAATTAACAGCAGTAAACTTGTGTCACATCATTCCCTCATCAGGACACACATGAATAATTACAAATTTACATGTCCCATCAGGACACACATGAATAATTACAAATTTCCCCCCTCACAAACAACACAGCAATTACACAGTGAACCTTTTGTTGTTTAGCACTTCATAAAGGACAGGCACAAGGGATAACAATACCAAGCTCATACCAAGTTGATTTTTTATTAAAACCTCACAGATCTTCCCCAGGCACATTCCCCGTGCCCTGACAGAGAGGTGCAAGGACTTGTAAAGCAAAACTTTAAACTGAAGTGGTAAATTCAGAGTTGCTTGGCTGGGAGCTGGAGTTTCATGGCCCACGAGAAGACACAAGGCTCTGTTTGTATGAGGATTTTGGCCAAATGGGATTGTATAAAAGCCAGGATTTCAGGAGCTGTACTGGTATTTGAATTTCACACAATTGCTGTGAAATTCACACACATGCTGTGTTTGCACACACATAAATACAAATTTATTCCTGGAAACTCCTTCCCATTGCAAAGCAGCCTGCTCTGCCCCAAATCGCCCAGGAGCTGGGCCAAAATAACCAAATCCTGGGTTAATTTGAGTCCAAAAGTGCATTTCTGAAGCTTTAACCCCCGAATTGAGCACAGAAACACCAACACGGATTCCACTTTCTCCTTCTGGGTGAGAACCTCCCGAACCAACCTCAGCAACACCCTGGGGCTGGGGAGGAACTTGAGGAACTTCACCGAGCTCAACCCAACGGGCTGGGCTGGCCAGCACAGAACACTGAGGGCTGATTTCTGTGATAATTATTGTGGTAATTATTGAAATCGGGGTAGGGAAACTGCCCGCAGCATCCTCTGGTGACAGCACAGCGTGTCCCTGTGTCACAGCACACAGGACAGGACACAGCCTCAAGCTGCGCCAAGGGAAGTTTGGGTGAGATGTTAGAAAGAAATTATTCGCTGAAAAGGTGATCGGGAAGTGGAATTGTCTGCCCAGGGAGGGGTGGATTCACCATCCCTGGAGGAGTTTAAAAACAGATGGAGGTGGCACTCAGTGCCATGGTTTAGGTGTTAGGGCAGGGGTTGGGCTGGGTGATATTAAAGGGATTTTCCAGCCTGGGTAATTCTGTGATTCTGTGGCATCCCGGGAAGCGGCACGGCCGGGCGGAGCAGCCCGAGCCACTCTCCCTGCCGGTAGCGGGGGCAGAGCCGTGCCCGGGGACACCGGGAGCGGCACCGGGAGCGGAGGGAGCCGCGCACCGCTCACCTTTGCGCGCCTTCTCTCCGGGGATGCTCTGGGCGCGCAGCCGCTGGTCCAGGATATAGAGCATCTCCCCGCCCAGGTTCAGGAACAGCAGCGGCAGCGTCCGCACCGACATGGCCCCGGCACGGCACGGCTCGGCCCGGCCCCGCTCCCGCACCGCCGCCGCCGTTGCCGGGCAGCCGCGGGGCCAATCCGGGAGCGCCGTCTTGGCCGGGCGGGGCGCGCCTGCGCAGCGTCCCGGTGTGAGTGAGCATCGTTCCGGTCTGTGTGTGCATCATCGTAATCCATGTGTGCATCATCGTGATCTGTGTGTGCATCGTCCTGATCTATGTGTGCATCATCCTCATCTGTGTGTGCATCATCGTGATCTGTGTGTGCATCGTCCTGATCTATGTGTGCATCATCCTCATCTGTGTGTGCATCATCGTGATCCGTGTGTGCATCGTTTCGGTGTGAGTGTGCATCATCCCGATCTAAGTGTGCATCATCCCTATCTGTGTGTGCATCATCCCGATCTGTGTGTGCATCATCGTGATCCATGTGTGCATCGTCCCAGTCTGAGTGTGCATCATCCTGGTCTCAGTGTGCATCGTTGTGATCCGTGTGCACATCGTGCCCATCTGAGTGTGCCTCATACCGGTGTGAGCACGCACATCATCGTGATCCATGTGTGCACTGTCCTGATCCATGTGTGCATCATCCTGATCTGAGTGTGTGCATCATCCTGGTGTGAGGAGTGTGCATCTTCCCATTCTAAGTGTGCATTGTTCCGGTGTGTGTGCACCATCGTGATCCACGTGAGCATCGTCCCAATCCGTGTGTGCATCATCCCAACCTATGTGTGCACTGTCCCAGTGTAAGTGTGTGTATTGTCACAACCTGTGTGTGCATCATCCCCGGTCCATGTGTGCATTGTCCCTGTCCCTGTGCCACCATCCCAGTCCCTGTGTGGATCATCCCGGCACACAAGCACAGCCCCAGCACATTGAGGAATGGTTTGGGTTGGAAAGGACCTTAAAGCCCATCCAGTGCCACCCCCTGCCATGGGCAGGGACACCCTCCACTGTCTCAGGCTGCTCCAAGCCCCGTCCAACCTGGCCTTGCACACTTACAGAGATCCATGGGCAGCCATAGCTTCTCTGGGCACCCTGTGCCAGGGCCTCCCCACCCTCAGAGGGGAGAATTTATTCATAATGTCCAATTTAAATGTCTTAAGTTTCAATTTATAAATATCTAAGAAGATGTGGCAGTGTAAACCTCTGGACTGGCTGTGCTGGGAGGGCACAGGCAGCCCTTGAGCTGTTCCCACTGACAGACCTGCAGGGTAATGCTGGAGCCCCCAGGCCCTCTCACAGACCAACCTGCCCAGCACTCAGCCTGAAATTAAACTTCTAAACCACTCAAACCACCAGCTGCCCTTCCCAGGTGCCCACACCACATGAGCAAAGAGGTTTCAGGTCTTTGGGCAGGAGTTTATTGTCAGCCTGGCTGTGCCAGCCTGGCTGTGCCACTACACAGGTGTCCCCTCCTGTGCCTGCTTCTCCTGCACCTGCTTCTCCTGCTGTTCCCGTGCAGCTCTTGCTCTCGCCTGCCACTCTCTCCTCTTCTTCAGTCTCTCAGCTGCTTGCAGCTTCTGCTTCTCCTGGAACACCTGTGGAAGCAGAAGGGAGAGAGATAAAGCTGCCTGCAGAGCTGCTGCCCAGGCTGTTTTGCTGCAGGCAAAGTGGTTCCAGCAGGAGCCAGATCAAATCCTCCTTCTGTGCCTTCCCTGCTCCAGGAAACCATCTGAGATTATTCTGTTACAGCCACCCAGTCAATCACTGAACCTTTCAGGTTGGAAAAGACTTCTGAGACCACACTTTTTACAGAGGGGTTTTCCACTGTGCAACCTTCTCCATACCTTGATGCACAAAGCCTTCTTGACAAAAGAGATTCCTCCAGAAAATCTGAATGCCACAAAACCCATTTCCTAGACTTTCACAGAGGGGTTTTCCCCTGCTCCATACCTTGATGCACAAAGCCTTTTTGACCAAAGGGATTTCTCCAGAAAATGTGAATGCCACAAAAGGTGTGGCAGACTTTCACAGAGGGGTTTTTCCCTGCTCCATACCTTGATGCACAAAGCCTTCTTGACCAAAGGGATTTCTCCAGAAAACGTGAATGCCACAAAACCGAATTCCCAGACTTTCAGAGAGGGGATTTTCCCTGCTCCATACCTTGATGCACAAAGCCTTCTTGACCATCCAGCGCTTGGTGAGGCGGCGGCTGTAGGGCTGGGGGGGGCTGTACTGGATGCCCAGCTCCTTGCAGGTGTTCTCAAAGGTGCTGTAGTTGACCCGGCGCAGGTAGCCCAGCATCTTCCTCCTCCTGTCCAGAGCCATCAGCATGAACCTGCGGTTCCTTTTGTCCTGCAAAGCACCCAAGCTTCACTCCACTGCAGGCAGGTTATGGTATTCCCCCCAGACAGAGGAAGGAATGAAGTGTTACTGTCATATTTTCTGAAAAATCCCTTTGCCAAGATTTTTTCTCCTGGGAAGCTGAGAAGCATCAGAGAAAAAATAAAACAATATTATCTCATTTGCTTCTGCCTGTTTTGCTGCTTTGGAATGTGGTCTGGAGATTGTTTACCAACAGGTGCTTCTTTGATTAGTTTCATGTCAATTATTTTACTTAATAACCAATCACAGTCTAGCTATGTCAGGACTCTAGAGAGTCACAGGTTTTTCATTAATATCTTGTTAAGCCTTCTGTCCATATCCTTTCTCAATTCTTTGGAAGAATAGAATAGAATAGAATAGAATAGAATAGAATAGAATAGAATAGAATAGAATAGAATAGAATAGAATAATAAATTAGTCTTCTAAACGTGGAGTCAGATTCATCTTTCCTCCCTTCAATCGGGGACTCCAAAAATACCACAGTGATGACTCTGACTCCATGTTCTCAGAAGGCTAATTTATTATTTTGTGGTACTATATTATATTAAAGAATACTATACTAAAGAATACAGAAAGGATACTTACAGAAGGCTAAAAAGATAATAATGAAAACTCCTGACTCTTTTCAGAGTCCTGGCACAGCTTGGCACTGATTGGCCAAAGAGTGAAAACAACCCACAGCAGAAATCAATGAAACAATCACCTGTGGGTAAACAATCTCCAAACACATTCCAAAGGAGCAAAACAGAGGAGAAGCAATCAGATAATTATTATTTTCCTTTTTATCTGAGGCTTCTCAGCTTCCCAGGAGAAAAATCCTGGACGAAGAGATTTTTCCAGAAAATGTGAATGCCCCAGCAGATCGTCCTGCCTGTCCAGTAAATTACTGAGAACAGAGCAGATTTTGGATGAAGGGCAATGATAAGGTTAAGGACAGAGTCTTAGAACAATTTCTGTTGGCAGATGCTGTGAGTACATCAGGTCAGCACAAGCTGATCCAAGGAGATGTAATTTACTTTGCACTGGAATTGCTTTCTCCCTTCCATGGTTGCACCTTCACCTTCCCTGAAGACTCTTGTGTCTTCAGGGCTGTGCCAAAACTGCAGGGAAGGTCTTCTGGCTAAAACCTGCTCCTCTTGAAGTGTGCTGCTTCAGAATAACAGAAGCATTTACCTTTGTTTTGCTAGAAATTAAATATGAAAATAATCTGTGACTTGGCTGTGTCTGGCTGTTCTTTGGAAGGGCACAAGCATATCCTGAGCCACACCAATCAGGGCAATCCTTCACAGGAGACATTTGTGATTTATGTAAAAAATTCAGCCAAGGAATTCTAAAAAGTCCAACTTCAACACTTGGTACAGCTTCTGGTGTCTTGTAATAAAAAACTCAATTCTGTTCTCTTGTACCTCTCAGGTTTTCATGAGTAATAATTATGCACTTCTTTCAAATGCAGTTATCAATCCATTCCCCACCTTTTGCCCTGCATAAAGAATCTTTGGTATCTGTTTTAAGAACATAAATTCAGGCAAGTTGTCTCAAATTTGGGCCTAAACCCAGGCAGGGGAGTGGGACATTCACACAGTGCTGTCCAGCAAACATTTCCATGAGCAGAACAAGCACAAATTTTGCTCTTTGTTTATTACTGCAGCTGCAATCATTAATTAGCCAAAACTAAGGGGTGAAGCCACATCTGCAGCAAGGAGAAATGGAGCTCAAGTCTGCCCAAAGGAATCTGCTCAGCTGTTTCCTCCACTACAGTAACAAACCAGAACACAGAGCAGAGTGGGCGAGAACCCAGCTGTGCCTGAGCCAGCAGCTCCCCACACTGGCACCAAGGAGCAGCTGTAACTATTTCATAAACTCCTTAGGAAAGCCATAATCCCCAAGATTAAACTCCTTTTGTAATAAACTCAGCAAACCACCTGAGCAGCTGTGGGCTGAGATCCCTGAGTTACCTTGGGGTGCCTCTGGAGGTGCTCCTCGAGCGTGCGGATCTTGGCAGTCAAAATAGCAACTGTGAAGGACAGAGAGGGAAACTGTGTGAGAGCAGCAGCTTTCCCAGGTGATTTAGGATCATCTGCCTTGCCTCAAGCTGCCAGCTGAGCACTGCTGCCCCTGCAGGGACCCACAGCAGCACAGCAGGGGCTGCCCATGGCAAAACAGTGCCCAAAACAGAACAGCGTCCAAAATAAAACAGTGCCCACAGCAAAACACTGCCCATGGCAAAACACTGCCCACAAGAGCACAAAAACCACTGCCCACAGCAAACACTGCCCATGGCAAAACACTGTCCAAAACAAAACAGCACCCAAGACAAAACAGTGCCCACAGCAGCACAAAAACCACTGCCCACAGCAAACAATGCCCACAGCAGCAGAACAAACATTGCCCACAGGAAAACACTGCCCACAACAAAACACTGTCCACAACAAGCACTGCCCACAGCAAATACTGCCCAAAGCAGCCCCTGCCAACAGCAAAAACTGCCCAAATCAGTCCCTGCCCACAGCCCACAGCACAACAAACAAGAACACACAACCTGCAGGGCTGTGATAGTTATGAGGCTGCTTAATTAGAGGGTAAGGTTTTAGCAACTCATATAAATTCATCTGTGAATTTATTCCTCTTTCAGCTCCCAGTGATTTGACATTTGTTTCACCTCATGGGATTTAAGTTCTGGGGGAGCAGACAGCAATAAA